ATGGATGAATATCGAAAAATTGATCAAGTTGACGTCGTCTTTCATCACTGCCAATTGTTAATGATTTTAGTTTATCCGAGACTGTTATGAGAGCTCGCATGAAATGACACCCATCTTCCACTAGCATTCAGAGGTTTTTTTTACTAATGTGTTCATATTTTCATTCCACGAATGCTCTTACCCATACAGACGGTCGACTAGTAAAAAGACTAGTCGATTTTGACTTTTCATCGCTGGTCGGAGATCGAAAAGGACTGGTCGAAGTGCCATTTTAGGACCACTTATCGACCAGTTCATGTTTTCGACTAGTCGAACTTTCCTTTCCGACGTGTAGACTAGTCGGTAACTCGTCGGAATTGTGTGATTAGAGTCGACTAGTTGAAATGGCACGTTTCGACTGTATACTAGGCCCGGACTAGTCCACTAGTCTGATTTATTCTACCAGCCAGATGAGAAATCCACTGATCAGGTTTTGTAATCTTTAAAATCAAAAGATGCAGCATTTTAACCGCTTTTAACCAGTGTTACTAATGTTACTGTTGAACTAGGAGGCCTTATAGTTTTTAATTCGTACATATAAATGAATATATAAATAAAACATATAAATTTTTGATGCTTTACATATATAAATATTTGGAATCGATCTCGATAGCAGATGGTGATGGTTGTTTTTTTTCTACTTTTTCTTCGTCTTCATCATCTAACAGTGTTTGATCGTTCATTTTCTGTCTTTCAATTAATTTTTTGACTTTAGTTTCATATAAACGTTTATTTTCTAAAAATAATTTTGCTGCTTCTTTGTTTGCCGGACTGTTTGGATTTGGATCATTTAATAATGAACGTATGGATATCAATATTGAGGTAACATCATACGTTGGACTCCAATTACGTTGTAAAATATCCAAACAAATACTGCCGTCGGCCTTAAAAAAATTCGAAATGATAGTTGGATCAAGCATTTGGTTCTTTAACTAGATGAACTTACATAAACGTTTGGATGAAGCATTTTACATGTAAAAGGAACATTTGGTGGTTTTAGAAGATACTGATCTAAATTTAGACAAAAAAAGTCAGGGACTTCCACAGTCAAATAGAAATTTAAGATATTATACCTGAAAACTCCATAAGCAAGGTAAATGTACCATCTTCGAAACAAGTGTCAGTTGGCCCCATAATCACAGCATTCCTACACGCATATCTTCTTTGGTTGGAGCTGCATTTATACCTTAAAAGAAATGAAAATGATCACTTTTCGCAGTGGAGTCAAACGCTTCAAGAAATTTAAACTCCATGAAGAGAGATCTTCTATCTTTCTAAAATTTAGTCTAATTCCACCAGTCAATGGAACTCCGCTTCGCTCTTTTTTAGCTAAATTCAATTACCTTGCAAATCTTCGCTGTGCAGTTTGGTCAAGTCATGTAATAAGCGTCTTCTTGCTGTCATTTTTACAGCGATATTTTCTTGTTTTCACTAAATTTGAGCTAACAACGCATCGACTGGTTTTTTTCCGACACAAAACAAACAAATCAAATTTTTAGTTTTCTAATTCGTTGTTCACCAGAATGAAAGGAAACAAGAATTAGTTTTGAGTCAACGTAGACATCAAGACGCTTTCGATCTATAAAAAAGATTAAAAAATTCAAAGCAAATGAATTAAAATCCCTTATGCATCATGGTAGCACTGCTATAGGAATCTATGAAGCCTGTTTATTGTGTACGTTATTCGTCACTATTAGCGGCAATTTACGGTGAAAGGTACATGGTATCGAATGCGCATTCATTACTTCATGTTTATGAAACTGTTGAATATATTGGTCCACTCCATTTTTGTTCTACTTTTAATTTCGAAGGTAAATAAACAAACAACGCTAACCATCTTAAGTCTTTTTCTTTTTCTATCTAAATCAGGTATTGGTCATGACCTAGTGTCGATGGTCCATGGAACAATATATTATGGTCAACAGCTAATCGCCTATCATCAATATTTTCGCCAAGCCATCATCAACATGGCGAACGGTGCCTGTCCATGGAAGTTGTATACATTCAATGTAAAGAACGCTAGTATCTGT